GCAACAGTCGCCATGAGCCCAAAATGCTAAACGACCATGTCATTACAGCTGACAGGACCTATTTTATTAGCTATTAACACGATTTTGCACAAATCACGAAATGGTTTGAAGCGAAAAAATAATCGGTGTGCATCGTTGTCTGTGGACTGGACAACACGATTTTATCACTAAAAACGCCCCACCTTACTTCCGTGAAAAGTTATTAAAGCTAGAAAACTAAATATCGAATATGAGACTAACTTAACCGCGGTCACGTACCCGGCACATTTACGCAGTGCTGCCGGCAAATCAAAATGCGCCTCCTGTCTGCTATAACAGCGTACATTTCACCAGTGGAGCAACCATCCACAAATAAATGTTATATAGGCCTAATAAAAATTATATCACGGAACCCCAATTGTTACGAATTAGCTAAATACTAATACATATCCACTCGTATGTCCATAAAGAGTCAATACTTGCAGGACGTCTGAAAAGATAAGCATTGGAATATAAATAATTACAACGAATTATAAACTCTCCAAACCGTCTTGTATTATTTCAAATAGTGAAATATAAAGGCTCTGTGAAAAGGACTGTGGCCTGTACTACGAAGCGGGGTTACTGGCTTATCGGGGTAACTTGTCGGATTAAGGTACCACCGTTTAAATGGACTTCATATTCGTTCACATAAGTTTTGCGCAGACTACCTTAAATACGACAAGTTACCCCGATAAGCCAGTAACCCCGCTTCGTAGTACAGGCCACTGGTATGAGAACAACATAAACAAAGGAAACTGTACAGAAGTAACTAGGCAACGGAGTGCATAAAATATATTTTCTCGCGCCATGAAAGACTGGAATAATTACAATTTCAGTAAATGTTTAATACTATTTCTTGTAATGTATTTAAACATTTAAGCTTTGTAATATTGCCCAACTCACACTTTTACGTATTCCAAACATTTGACTTCTCTCTGCTTCCTCATTTAGGCCTGCCCCCTGTGAAAGTGACTGACATGGGCCTGACGTATATTCCGTCGACGTGTTATTTCCGGTCGAGAGAGTGACGTGGAAGTGGATTTGTACGTGGACGCAGAGGTAGCGCTTCAGCAACAATGATCAAGAAATTTGATAAAAAGGACGAGGAGTCTGGTAAGATATACTATATTTTAAAGTAAAATACAATCATGATTGTAGAAAGCATACCCATAATAGGACTAAATAAATTGTATATAATCTGTCAGTTGTCCGCTTACTGTAGGCCTCGTTAGCTATAGCTAACCTTAACCTATCGTGTACCGATTTAAGGAATAACTAGTGTTTTTGGTTTATTTTAAAAGATAAATGAATACCATTACTCTGGAGCAACTGATATTGGTATTTAGCGAATTTAGACTAGAAGCAAAGCTCACTGTAATACTAATAATTACTAGTCTAATTTAACTCATGCGTTCTGCATGGAATTGCCAATATGAGTGAATATCTAATGTCTAAAATGTCATGGATTATTTAAAAACATAAATATATGCATGTCAAAGCTAACCTGATTGTCTTCATATGGTTCTAGTCATCGCATGTTTTTTTTTTTGCTCTGAAATTCATAGCTGAATACGTCTGTGAGAGTTATCTTTCGATATAGTGCATTTTTAAACTATGTATAGGTAGCGAATGTATTGGGTTAGTTAATTTTGTAGCATTAATATTGTTAAGCTTGAATCATCTTTTGTCAAGGCTTTTGCCCAGAATACGATTTTATCCTTAGTGTTTTTTCCCTCAGGGGAAGCAATTTCATTATTTTGTTTATTTGCACTCTTAAGCTACTTCACAATTTTCTCTTGAAACAGGAAGTGGCTCAAACCCCTTTCAGCACCTGGAGAAAAGTGCGGTATTACAAGAGGTATGTATTCTCATTTTTGTAATAATGGAGAAGTGCATCTTAACAGTGTTCAACTTCATAGTGAATAATTGAAAGGATATAACATCTGGCAGTTTGATTCTTTTGCAGATGAGGCACAGTTGCATGCTCTTGTTGTGCTGGCAGTCTGACATTTCAGGTGCCCCTAATACTCCAGGACTTTCTCAATACGATATTTATAACTTAGTGATTTGTTGTTCTCAGGCTCGCATCTTTAATGAGACCCCAATTAACCCACGACGATGTCTGCACATCCTCACCAAAATCATTTATCTTCTCAACCAGGTGAGGTTTTCCTAAAGCTTCTGCTCCCAGGCATTCCATCGCTTGTTTGTGGGATTGCCAAGCCCATAACAGAATTTATGGAAATTAGAGATGAACTCAATGCATCAGCCAACTAACATTATTGGCCAGTACAGCAACAATTTGGCCATTGACTGATTGTTAAAAGTGAGCTGATATTTGCTGCTGGTAAGCCCCTTTAAAATGGTGGACCATGGTGCTTGAGAATCATACAAGTTGCAAGCCCACATACTAAACAGTTAGAAAAATGTTTTTCCGACTGGAATTTCTTTGATATTTGTGAACGCAATGTTAGAAATGCATTTTCAAACATTTTTCTGTAAAAATTTTATGAGCAGGATCTACTAGTAAAAATTAACACAACAAATTTGATTGCTCATCTCAAGGTCAGAGACTGAAAGTATATGAAGAGTTTCTGAAATGGAAGGGTCATTCCATGTCAAATCATCACAGTTTCGGACCTCATCGTTACAGATTTTAACGAAACTTTGCCTGCTGATTTGGTCACAGGGGTAATTCATGAAAGTGAAATGGATCAATATTGAGGGAGATTTAAGCGAACAAAGTTTTAACTTTTTTTTTGGGGGGGGGGGGGCTATGACTTTGACTGGCTATATTTACCTAAATGTAAGCTGCACAAAAGTGGTCCTAATATTATTTTAAAGCTATTGTCCAGCTCTACTAAAGCTAGATCATAATGTCATGAAAATCAGAAAATTTGATATTTGGTTTTTTAGAAGTTGCTGAGATTTCTACACGTAAAGGTAGCGTCACATGGTTTCATATCACTAATGGGCCTTTTTAATGGCAACCAAACTGACACGTAATAGTATAACAAGCACAGGTGTAAGTAATAACAATAATTTACAAATATGTTACACTAAAATTTAATGAAAGCATCATTGATGTCATTGCAGACACCTGTACTTGCCATACTATTGAAAAGGCCCACATGCCTAGTAAATATGGCTAATAAATGCCCTGCATTCATCAGAGGTGAGTGAGGTGTACAAATCAGTCCAGTGTAAGTGCACACTTAGGGAACCACTCGTTTTTGCAAGCATCAAAGGTTATGTCGTGGCTGCATATGATGATAATTGGTGGCTAGGATGGCAAGTACAGGTGTCTGCAGTGACATTAATGATGCTGATATATGATGTCATA